GGCTGAAAAGTGAGTTTAAAACTAGTTAATATTTTATTTCATTTAGGTGAGCCAGGGGGACTAGGCACACCAGTGTGGTACGTAGATTTGGCAAATCCTTATCTTCTCCGCTAGTTTCACCCCTGTGCATGTGAGAGTCCCAAAACCTCTCTTTGATTCAAAGGTTAGATAACACTAGTGTGCGTATATATATATATACACTCAAGTATCTTTGGATGTTTAGTCGATGTGGAATTGAGTTTTCATATAAAAAATAATTTTTTAATTAAAATATTTTAACAAAAGTCCCGGAGTGGATGACCTGCCTTTAACCAGATCGGGGAGAAAATTAGTCAAAGTACGTGTAAACTGACTTAGACATCTCTGATCGTTGAACCAAAAAAAACTATATGAACATGATTTGGGGATTTATTTCAATGCAACCATTAGATTGAAAATTACATACTCTAAAATTGAAACTTACAATTAACTATTAGAATACAATGAATTAAGTCCAGAGATTAAGAGTGCGTTTGGTAACGTTTTCGTTTTTATATTTTTTTTTTATAAAAAAAATAAAACAATTTTTTTTTTGTAATAAAAAATAAAAAATATAAACATTTTTGATAGTCATTTACATTTAAAAAATTATGAAAACAAAAATAAAAAATATGTTTGGTATTATATCAAAAATCTATACCTCAGCATCACNTTCTTTTTTTTTTTTGGCTGGGCTTATCCCTTTGTCATATGTATTTGTAATAATGCAAGTGTGTTTTACATTATGGGCTATGTGTATGGTTGTGAGAATATTACCGTACCGCTAGGACGAATCAATAGAATTGGGGGTCCTAAGCGAAAGTTTGGAACAGAGTTCTTTCGGGTATTGTCAATAAAATTTTATAAGCTATAAATACATTTGAAAATGAATCTAACTATTTGTATAGATGGACATTAATGAAGAGATAGAAAGAGGGGAGTGGTTTGATGGGAGTTGACCATTAATTGTAGAATTTTAGAAAGAGTGGGGGATAAAGAGTTAATTTGGGATTTTTATTATTAAATGGGTTTGACCTACATTTAACAAATAGTATAAAGGTGATGTATATATTGATTTTGTATTTAATAGACTGTAAAAGTTTATAAATTTATATTTATTGAAACTATATTTAATACTTTTTAAATATAGAAGAATAAAAATTGATATACATAACATGAACAAAAAAATAATAATTAAAACTTCTTATCGAGAATAAGATTAATTATTATCACTTACAATTGACCATAGTATGCTTTTATTATTTGAAAGAGTTACAAATTAATTTTATCAACAATATTTCTTTTATATATAAAATCGCGGTAGCAATATTTCATTTAAGATCCTATAGTTTACTACATAACGATACACATTTGTATATAATAACGAAATAACCTTACAATTGAAAAAAAATTGAAAATAACATCAACATATTCAAAATATATTTGGACATGGCTGAAATATGTCTAAAAATTAACAATAATATTAGTTACACCTAATTTGAGTTTAATTGATGGAGACCCAATAGTTTGTGACCATTTGATAGATAATAGAGTTTATTAAATATTAATATTTACTATTATACTTAATATCACAATATATTAGGCCCTTAAATTAAGTTTCAATAACATTGTTTAAAAAGTTAACAATTATTTAGGTAGGAGTCTATTCAATTCAATATTACCAGAACACAATATTAGGGTAGACACAATTAAATATGTCTAAATTTTATTTCAATAAATACATGACTAATATAAAGCAAAAAAAAAAAAAAATTGAGGGGCATGTGCCCAACCTAGCCCAAGGGTGGCTCTGCCCCTGACTTCAAACATCAAATGTTGTTGATGTACATTTGATCAATTAATAGAGAACATTCAACTGATAGTTTTCGTCCACAATGGATGTTAACAAACTTTGTATTGTAGACACTTGAAACAAGTGGAACTGTCGACAAGACAAGGATTTGTAACTGTTGGTGATTCTTTATATAGATTCTCCAAGATCTTGTTAGATGTGTGTTTATTAGGGCATTTCACCAAAAAGTTGGACAAGTCTATTGATTACGACCATTTGTATAGGCACTACAAAAACAATAAGGCAGAATGTGAAAAAGCTTCATTAAATTCTTCTTTTTTTTTTTTTATCGAGATTCATACTACGAATCTCAACTGTCTACATTAAATTTCAAACCCAAAATGATGTATGGCCTTGACTATCGTTAAATGTTAATGGAACTCACTAATCCGATGATTGTGAATGTGATAAGATTAGCATGAACATTGTATTAAGCCGTGACCTTTTGCTCCAAAAACAACAGTGGTCTGATTGAAGGAAAGAAGCCTAGACATGGTTAAAAACAAAGATATTTACCAAGAAGCTAGTTACCTCTATCCATTGAAACAAAAGAGATTAGCAGTCAAGTAGGCCAGTATAATTGAAGGAAAACTTCTGAACAATTGATCCAGCAAATTTGCCTTTTTCTCTTCTTTAGCTAGAAATTATGGNGAAAGAAGCCTAGACATGGTTAAAAACAAAGATATTTACCAAGAAGCTAGTTACCTCTATCCATTGACACAAAAGAGATTAGCAGTCAAGTAGGCCAGTATAATTGAAGGAAAACTTCTGAACAATTGATCCAGCAAATTTGCCTTTTTCTCTTCTTTAGCTAGAAATTATGGCTCATGCAATGGGTGCACAAAATGTAATCCCAAAGCGTATGATAATTCTTTATTATTTTTTACTTTTTAACTAGTTAGTTATATATTTTTTTTGGGACTGGGGGAGGGAAGAGGGAAGAGAGAGAGAGGGTAAAGATGAGTAATTAAATGTGGCTTTCTGTAAGAGAGATCAAGTGGGAACTTGGGAATTAAGTAAATTACTGGGCAAAGGTGACACCAGATGGAGATGAAGTCCTTTCTATGAAGAATTTATCCCTGATAAATACTGTTGGAAAAAAATTGGATGTAAATAAAGTGAACGGCAGGGTGAGGTGCGGACTAAGTCGCTCTCTTAAGACGATTCACACCCCTTTATAGAAGAATCACACTGCATAAGGTAGTAGCGCGTTGTCCCCAGGATACAATAGCCCAGCCTATTGACTGTTACGTCACTCAGATCTGCACAATCGAATGAAGCAGAAGCTTCATACACACTTTTGAATATTGCCTAGAAACTTATATTGTAAGAAGAAAGTTGATATGATATATATTATATATCTCTATACTGAAAATACGTATATATAATATATGTGTTTAATAGGCTGAAAAGTGAGTTTAAAACTAGTTAATATTTTATTTCATTTAGGTGAGCCAGGGGGACTAGGCACACCAGTGTGGTACGTAGATTTGGCAAATCCTTATCTTCTCCGCTAGTTTCACCCCTGTGCATGTGAGAGTCCCAAAACCTCTCTTTGATTCAAAGGTTAGATAACACTAGTGTGCGTATATATATATATACACTCAAGTATCTTTGGATGTTTAGTCGATGTGGAATTGAGTTTTCATATAAAAAATAATTTTTTAATTAAAATATTTTAACAAAAGTCCCGGAGTGGATGACCTGCCTTTAACCAGATCGGGGAGAAAATTAGTCAAAGTACGTGTAAACTGACTTAGACATCTCTGATCGTTGAACCAAAAAAAACTATATGAACATGATTTGGGGATTTATTTCAATGCAACCATTAGATTGAAAATTACATACTCTAAAATTGAAACTTACAATTAACTATTAGAATACAATGAATTAAGTCCAGAGATTAAGAGTGCGTTTGGTAACGTTTTCGTTTTTATATTTTTTTTTTATAAAAAAAATAAAACAATTTTTTTTTTGTAATAAAAAATAAAAAATATAAACATTTTTGATAGTCATTTACATTTAAAAAATTATGAAAACAAAAATAAAAAATATGTTTGGTATTATATCAAAAATCTATACCTCAGCATCACCAAACCGACCACCACCAACCACCCACACCCAAAACTCACCACGACCAACCACCCACAACCACCACCACCCATCCAACCACCACCAAAACATCACTCACCACCAAAACCCACCCCCCACCAACAACCACTTAACACCCCCTGAAACCCACCCCCCAAAGCCCCTGAAACCCACTAAAACCCATCTCTCTCTTTCTCGGTCTCTCTCTTTCTCTCACACACACACACTCAAATATAACAATATATACAAAAATCTAGGGCTATATATGTGTGTGTGTGTGTATATATATATATGTAGATCTAGGGCTTAGAGGTACAGAGAGTGCTCGATGAAGACGGAGTGAAATCTGACATTGGAGATGAAGTAATGGCTTCTGGATCCGAGAGCTCCTTCCCAGCGATGGCGATGACTTCGACTTCTATGTTCGTTGTTGGCAGAGAGAGACAACAAAGTGGGAGACGACAAAGAGGGGGCCTTTTATACTCAAGTAAGAAAATTCATTTTTTGTTGTTAAGGAAGGTCGAAGTTAAGATCTCATTAAATCTCCTTTCAATTGCGAGTTTGTTTTTTTTTTTTTTCAAAATTATCCTATTGGATGTTTCCATATTTTAGCCTTGTTTTCAAAATGAAACAATTAAAAAAAATGAAAACATTTATCAAATGCCTTTTTTTTTTTTTGCCATAAAATAAAAACAAAAATATGAGATTACCAAACGCTACCCAAGTCTCCTACCATTGCTCTATAGTAATAGATATTCAGACTCTAGTCACTATCGTCAAATCCAATCAAAATACAATTCAAAATGTCACTGAATCACAAGAATCAATTATGACACGACAACCAAGGCAAAAATTCTTGCCTAGTTATTAAAACGAATAACTACATCACCCAAAAACCAAAAGAAATTCAGAATAATGAAAGGGAAACCATGCAAAACACTCCAACATCAAATAATCAAATGAAGAAAACACTTGCACCACAGTACACCAAGTTAAGATAACACAACAGTGAACAATTTGGCTTAAACTGACAAATAATCTATCCACACTTGAAGCCGGTAGGAATGGTATTTCCACATGCACTAACCAGCACACTAAGAGCAACAGGCACATTCAAGTTGATTCCAAGCACATTGGCCTTAATTGCAGTGCAAAGACAGGCTGCAACCTCCAAGTCCGCCAAGCCCTCCAGCACGGCGCAGCACTTGCTGGTCGGAGGCGAACCAACGACGAGGTTTACGAGCCCGAGAAGATCAGCACAGACTCCAAGCTTCAGGGTGTCTCTGGGACAGAAGGGGTTCACTGGAGGAGCCTTTGGAGGTAGCATTGGTTTGGGTGTGGGCTTGGGTTGGCATACACCGCAAGCGTGAGAAAATGGTGCCAAGAGGAGGAGAGAGAAGATTAGAATAGTGGTGGAGAGGTTGTGGGCAGCCATTGCTAGACCAGGTTTAGGGTATGATGCCTTGTTGAAGGGCAGCTACTCTTTATAAAGGGGGATTGTGAGGTTGATGTGAAGAGTTTGATTGAGTGTAGGAGTGTGAAAAAAGAAAATGTGAATTCCAGTTGGAATTTTTGGAAGTTTGTGTTGAAGTTCTGTGCTAAATATCTGATAGTAATTTTTTTTTTTGGGGGTGGTGGTTTAGTGGTAAGTAGGATTGATAATCCATCTAAACTACTCGGGATTATCTCAAATTTGATTTGTTTTGGACTCGATTTGGATTTGATTCTTTTTTTAAACGAGCTAAACTTAAATAATTTTTCTTAAACGAGCCTAAAGGCTTAAATCATTTATATGTAATTGAATAATTTTTTCAGCTTGTTTTTCAAATTCGTCTCGATTATCAACCCTAACGATAAGTAAAAAAAAAAAAAACAATTGAGGATTAATTGATACGACCAGTCTAATGTTGAATTCTAAGTGTCAACTAAGATGAGAACATCTATAAATGGAGAAATACATGTAATTTTGATAATTTCAGAAAATGGTAAAGTTTCAGATATATTTTGAAAATATTTCATAAATAGAATTGAAATATATAAAAACAATTATAAATTTGTTTCAAAAATATTATTCAAAATATATCAAACCATCTTTAAATACGTCAAAACATTAGTAGAAACTTTTTAAAATAGCACAAAAACACCTTAAAGTACTAAAAATTCGACTCAATCATTAATCATTTTGATCTCTTGAAAACAAATACGTTTTGATTGTTTTAACCATTTCAAAATAAAACTTTAATCCTTGGTTGTGTACCTAAAATTTAGGTTACAGTCACGAGTCAAAAAAATCTTAAGATTGAGACAAATTGCTATGGATGTGGGAGAAATTCTCAAAATAATTTTCGGGTCCTCTTTAAATATTTTATAAAAAAGAAAGTTGATATCATCCCAGTTTAGTGGCACACCAATCAAGAAGAAAACTTACCCCTTAAGCTAGATCGTCTTCACTTAACCCACTGCCTTAGGGTTAAGGGAAAGGCTACAGTATTTTCGGTACTATCGGATTAAAAATTATAATTTTGTAGGATTAAATTATAATTTTTTTAATATATAAATTAAAATTTTAAAGAACATGATCGATCATAAAAAGTTATAATCAATACCAAAATTTTTATGATCAATTATGGATGCCTACGAGTAATCATGACCTTCTAATTTCTTCTTTTAAAATTATAATTTTGCCCCTAAAAAAGTAAGAGTAATACTACACAACTCAAAAAATAACAACCCGAATACGTATTACCCATTTAATGAGCAGATCTTATTAATTTTTTCAGTAAGACTCACTCATTTAATTCTCATCTAAAGTCTAATATGTATTTAAGTTATAGTTTTTAATCTTTATTTGAATTGTGTAATATTTTTCAAAAAATAATAACCAACAACACAATACCAAATTTTTTTTTTCGACATCGTAAATTTTCCGAGGCTATGACTCTGAATAACACAAGAATTACCAAATATCTTCTCAATTGGGCCCAAGGCTACATATTTAATGCATCCTCTCTATTACCCATATACCTCTGATTAAGTTCAGTTCATCTGTTGGTGGTTAAGTTCAGTTCATTGTACACGATTAAGTTCAGTTCAGTTTATTGATATACTAGGAGTAATCTTTACCTGAAGACACGGTGTAATGTAAATAGTTTTGATTAAGATATTAGTGACTGTTAGATGAGTTTATTTGAAACCGTTGAATTGACTTATTGAAGTCTGTCTTATTTTATATTATATGTATTTGTTCTAACAAGCATAGTTAGTGACCAATTTTCATGAATTAAACCTAATAATTGAACCTTACTATCCTAGTAACCAAGGATTAAAATCCCGTTTCGATCCTTAGTTTATGCCACCTCTTAAATGTAAATTTTTCAGAAAAAAAATAAAAAAAAAAATTGAAAATCTGTTTTTGAAAAATTGGTAGAAACTAACTGAATATCTCTAAAAAAATCTCAAATTATAAAAATTCCACAATTTAATTACTAATTCAGTTTGATTTCTGTAGAAGCATAAATGTTTGCTCATTTCGATGGAAAAGAAACAAAATTGTGATCCTCGGTAGAACCGATGGCAAAGCGGATAAATTGTAAATTTGGGTTTTGTACGGAGGCAATAGTTATTTGGTAATTTTAAGGATAGTTCAAGTAATAACACTGACGAGTTGTAAACTTAGATGTCGTAAGTTCAAAACTTAACAACCTCTTGACGTCAAGCAATGAGGGATATATCCTCATGAATTCCCTAATCCCTACGTGGATGACATGCTTTTGATCGAACCGAGGAAAATGATTAGTCGAGATGCGCATAAATTGACACAAATACCTCTGACTGTGAAACTAAAAAATAGGTGTTTGGTAATTAGCCAAATTGTTTCATCCAAACAATAATAGAAATGGGTACCACTGCCAGCTTGTGAGCTCTAAAACAACCAATTTCCTATTTGTAGAAAGATGAAGCCCTTCGTTTGCAGCTTCCAGCTTGTATTATGTTTTGTCTGAGTGTTTGATTCACATGTGAATAATTGAAGCCACAGGGTCCCGCCCATGATGTGTGCTTTGGATCACTATCGACTGACCTCTAAGTACCACATACATCAAGTTTTGATCAAAACTGCTAGGTCAATATCTTATCTTTTGATGGTGATTGATCATTGATCAAAGAAACTTGTGAACTACCATTGGTTGTATTAGTCCAGGCTAGCAATCATTTATTTTTTTCATTAATTATTGGGTTTTTTTGTTTTAATCTTTATTCTCTCTTTCTCTCATTTATTTCCTAATTTACAGTTGTTCACGTGAAAGTATGATTTATATAACTCATGTTTTTTAATATAAAAGTGTGTCAGCAAAATATACTTTCTAGATTAAATCATTTATTGTAAATAAGTTTTAAGTCACGATAAAGATAGAGTAAAAATAAAAAGGACGGTAAAAATAATTTAGGTAAATCTGTTTGTATGCTTATCATTGTTGTTCTCATATTCTAATGCCAAGGGGGCCTTGGCTCTGTCTACCATGTGTTTGACAGAAGGCGCCACAGCTGCATTGAACTGAAAAATAATGAGGTTAAATAGGAAATTACTNAAATCTGTTTGTATGCTTATCATTGTTGTTCTCATATTCTAATGCCAAGGGGGCCTTGGCTCTGTCTACCATGTGTTTGATAGAAGGCGCCACAGCTGCATTGAACTGAAAAATAATGAGGTTAAATAGGAAATTACTAACGGGCCCTCTAACACAGAGAAGCAAAGTTTGGGGAAGGATGGTGTATATACCTTCCACAAGAGACAAATTTTAATTCTTGAGCTGCATGTTATTTTCCATGAATGAAAACTTAGATGGAAATGGTGAGAACCCTGCATGTGACTACATTAGCTTCTAATATGGTATGACTTGAAGGGACTATTTGGATGCAAGAACCTTTGTTTTTGGTTTTGTGACGTAACCGTCTCAACCATATATACTTTAAGCTTATCGTTTCAACATAAATTTTAGATACACCGTATAATCTACTTACTATGTACAATGATTACCGATTTTATGCAGCTTGCGAGAATCACACTCTGGGCATGGAGGTTTAGGACTTGCGTCTTATGCACGAACTAAGTTAGTAGCAGTTTTAATTACCCAACTAAATGTTAAATTACAAAAATAATTCATAATCGACAATGTCCAATTTATTCATTCAATTCAATCCTTTACCGAATTTGATATAGTGTGAGAGAGTGAATGTGGGGGTTAATCACAATATACGTAGTACGAGATATCCAACGATAACCGAATAATCAACAATCTTTGTGCATAGTATAAAATAAAATTTCACAGATCATATAAAACTTATCAGTCCAGCCTTCTAAATTATTAATGGTTGCAACCTTGGTTTGTCTCTGCAACAATTAAATATCACTTGGTGGATTCCTCTATAAGATATAGCTCGCAGAGTATCTCTAATCTTTTACCTGTTTTAAATTTTTAATTTAAATTTCTATAACAAAACTATTAAAAACATTCTCCAATGCTAGACTCATGCCCATATGAAATGAAGGGAAACCATTTTTTTACTCAAATTAAGGGAGACTTAAATCCATACCTAAATCATTAATGATGAGATTACACCCTCCTTTAAAAATCAATGGTTATATTTTACCCTCATTTAAATTTAGATTTTTCCTCATTTAATTTTTGGTTTCTCTTCTTTTAAATTTGGGTTTCTTTTTCTTCAAATTTGAGTTTCTTTTTCTTTAAATTTGGGTTTCTCCATTGGAGATGTGTATGTTAAATCAAGCTTTTTACCCTTTTTTTTACTCAAATTTGTGTAAGGGTTTGAGTCTCCACTGGAGATAGTTTGTACTCCTTCCATTGAATACTCCTAACACATTTACTAATATAAACCTTTTTCTTTGTGAAGGCTAGTGTTGTACTTAACCTTTTTCTTTTTTGTTACTATGTGTTCGTATATATATACTAGTTATTACCCGTGCTTGAAGGCATGGAGTAATAAAAAATTAGTCAACAATATATATGTTTGTATTTACACCCAAAATTCAATTACAAACATAGAGGAAAGAGAACAGAATGTAAGCATCAGTTGTAGTGGAGGTGAGCAATGGTAGTAGTAGTAGACAACAGTGGTTGTGGTGGGGGATGGTGATGGTTGTATTGGGTAACGACAACCGTGGTGGTGGTGGATTTTGGGTGATGATGGTGGTAGAGGCGACCATGAGTGATGGTGGTAGTGGCAGCCATTAGTGAAGGCGCTGGTGGTGGTGCGTTTGGGTGGTGGTGGGCGATGGTGATGGTAGCTGGGCTACGATGGGCGTGGGGTGACAACGGTGGTGGTGGGCAGTGACGATGGTGGTGGTGGGCAATGACATGTGCTTTTGGGTAACCGTTTGATGGATGCTGGCGAATGGTGGTGGTAGGTGTGGTGGGG